GGGCGGACTCCATGACGGCGGATCGTGCGAAAGTGGTCCTGGTTGTCGATCTTCGTCTCTTGAAAGAAAACACATTGGGTGATGGTGGATCCCAATACTTTGGCAGGAGCGTCGGAGATTTTGATAAAGCCGTTGATGTTGCAGGTTGTGATGGAGATCGAGGGAGCAGGCGCACCCTCGATCTCCGAGGGTGGGGGGAGCGACAAGCTTAGCCGCTCGAAGTGGCAACATCGTCGGACCACAGGTCGTCGAGGCTGCGGTGGACCAGGGTGCTCACCGATGCGTCAAACAGGATCTGGTTGGACGCATCCATGTCCAGGGTACCATGGGAGTCGATCGTTTTCAGCCGATCCATATCACGCACCCAGTAGAGGAGAAGCGTAGTTGTAAGATCGTCTCCCATGTAGGCGTCACCTTCCACGTTGCCGTCCGTGCGTGCCTGGACTGAAGCTGAGGTAGCAGCTGACGATAGGAGCGCTCGCGTACGGTCCCAAACGATGGATCCCAGAGGAGAGTGTAGAAGCACAGATTTAAGCGTGCATGAAGCGAGGAATCGGTCACATCCACGTGCAGGGAGTGAGAAGACAGGTGATGATGTAGCAACGCAGAGGGCAGAATCACTCGCGTAGTACATGGGTGCCACGGAGGCCAGAACGATTTCCCCAAGGGCCAACACACTTTCCGCATCCAGCGCCAGTACCATACATTCATCGCCATCGTGAAGAGCGACGTGATCTGTTACATTGGCCGTGCTGAGAAGCATGGCAAAGTCGTCGTCAAGAGCGGGGATTGAGAATTTGTGGCCGAAAACATTCGCGTACAGTTTGTAGAACGGGGTCGTAGATCCCCATGTCGCTCGCAACCAACGACACACCAGGCGGAGGCGGATCAATTGGACGAGTTGGGTGGGGTCGGAGGACGCAAGAGAGAGTAGTTGGCGACTAAACTCGATGGGATGGGCCTCAACATCACGTTGAATCCAGTCGGCCACACCATTTTGGATGTACGTGGCTAGGTCCAAGGTAGTGGAGCCACGGGCGGCGATACAGTGAGATTCGAATGAGGCCTGCGCCTCCTGGGACGAGCGATCCATCGTTGCAAATTCCTGCAGGATGGCGTCAAGCGGCATTTCAATGCGAACGGCCGTGCCCTTCACGATTTTGGTGCCGCTGACGAAGGTTGAGGGTGGGGTTGAGGTAGGGGCATCTGGGGATTCGAGGATTTGGGGGACGACGATAACGTCCTTGCCATTGGAAGCGGACAACTGAACAGGAGTCACCACGACATGCTGGCGTAGGACGTCAAACACGTTCGTCGAGACCCAGGGACGCCCGGGAGTGCTAGGAGAGGAGGGAGCTCCGCGGGTAACACGAGTCCACGCCGCGGGTGGGGGAGTTACAACACACTGTGGCTTGGGGGAACCGGTCGTGCGGGGTGAGGGGGACACGCCTGGGGGTGGCGGAGTCGGTGGACGAACAATCTTGCGCTCACGGGCCGCAATATCCATGTCCGTACGCTGAAGGGGCTGCTTGTGGTTGTACCAACCTTTTCCGTAGACACGGTGGCAACGACCCAGCAGAATAATCTCGTCGATAAGTCGACCGTTAGATCTAAACAGGGACGGCGCATCGGCCGTGGCAAACGTCAAGCGGTAGCGGGACGTTTTTGCACCCTGCAGCGCCAAAACCTGTGTGTACGCGCCCGCGATAGGCGGGGCACCCCACGCAGCGAGGATACACCAGAGGTGCCGTTCAGCCGCGCGATCGTGGGCAAAGTCAAGTATGTCGACGTGAAACCCATCCATTGCGTGGGCGGCCTCCACAAGGAATGTTTGCTGTCCGTCTTTGACAGGCAGCTTGAATGAGACGCCGGTCAGGGCGTCAATGGCGCGGAACGATGCGAGGCCCAGAACCAGTTGCTGGTTGGCCAGGTCCTTTCGAAGTTGGATGAGCTCAGCCAATGAGGAGCCGACATTGGCCTGGTGGTTGTCGAAGAGCACGGCCTTCAGGGCCTTGCCCTCGTCGATCTGCGCGGTGAACGCGCCAGTCGGGATACGGACATATCCAACGATGGCGCGGTTCGAGTCCCGGCGAAGAGGCTCGAAGGCATCGAAGAGTTCGCCGCCACTGGCGGACCCGGTGGCCAGAAGATCCAGGACGGGTTGCAACTCAGCCATCGTGGGTCGGTGGTATCCGATGTCGCTCTTCGACCTGATCGCGTCGGCTTGGCGCCGTTGTTCGCGCTGGAAGGACCACACGTCGTCGCCATCGTGGGCGGGAACACCAGGGGCGCCAGGAGCGGGGGGGGCGCGTGGTGGAGAGGGCTCACGAGCAGCGTCCGCGCGGGCACGCGCCGCAGCAAACGCGGGAGTACGAGGACGTGCAGTGGCCGGAGCGGCCGAAGACACAAGGTCTGGAAGCTGGAAGGCGACGCGACTGACTACGCTGGTAGTCGTGGCAGCGTGGGTTGGTTTGGCAAGATCGGTGGGGATAGACATACTTGCAGGGTTGTAGGCGGCTTGCGTACGGGATGGCAAATAGTAGTCTTCCCTAGTAGTCTAGTTGTCAAAGGGTGCCATTATCTTGAATATCAAGCTAAACT